TTTGTCAGCGGTCCTTCTAGCCTGTTTCTAGACATATGCATCTGAACCATCCATGTGAAAGAGCAAGGCAACAGACTCCCAGAAATATTGTTTCCTGAAAGGTCAAGAACTGTGAGTGATGAGAGTCGACACAACTCTACCGGCATTGGACCTTCAAAATTATTATTTGCCATGAGCATAGTCTCCAAGTCTGTTATATTCCCTAACCATCTTGGGATCGTACCAGAGAGGTAATTGTCACTGATATCGAACCCTCCCAAGGAGCTGTTCAACATACTCACCGGGATCTTCCCACTGAAACGATTGCCATTCAACCTTAAAGTCCCCAAGTATTTCCAACTATGTTTTGAAGGAAATATCTGACCTTCCAAATGATTGTTTGACAGTATAAGATGCATTAACAAATCACAACCCATGGCAAAATGCTCAGGAATTTCACCAGACAAGCCATTGTTGGATGCATCCAAAAACTCTAGCGATTTCATGTCACCAAAGGAGGAAGGAATGCCACCCACGAAAAAATTTCCTGAAATGTCCAGAGATCCTAGGCACGGCAAATATAAACCAATCTCTTGATCATACTCGATGTAGCCATGTAAGAGATTGTCAGAGAGATCTAAACTTGACAAATTTTTATGAGATTGAAATGGCATCTTCAAAGGACCCGAGAGAGAATTATTTCTGAGGTTAAGTGTTTCCAGTCCTGTGTTGTTCTCCAACAACCAGTTTGGAAAATCTCCTGACAAATTAATGTTAGAGAGATCGACCTGTTGTAGATCATGTTGATGGTAGAGGAACTTAGGAGGTGCTCCACCATTTCCACAGCAAGACAAATGGATGGTTTCCAGCTGAAATTTTGGGACTGAGGAATATTGGTCTCTGTCATCATATACTTGATTATTTTCAGCATAGATATTCTTGAGTTTTGAAAGGTTGAAGAAAGGTCTAAGTGAATTTGGGATTTGGAATTGATTGTTTGAAAGTTTCAAGTATTGGATGGATGTTAGGCTCTGAAACGGAGATAATGCTATATTTCCAGAGAACTGATTAGATGAGAGGTCTAAATGTTCAAGGGAAGTTAGGTTTGAAAAGCACCAAGGCAAATTTCCACTGAAATTGTTGTTGCTGATATCTAGTTCTTTGAGATGAGTCAATTCACAGAGACCTATCCACCCAAAAAATTCCTAAACTCGTTAGCTTAAATACAAATTGGCATGTGACAAGATAGAAAAGTTATTAATTAGTCCAACCAACCTTTAGCAGGTAAAGTTCCATTGAATTCACAGCCAGGTAATGATAACACCTTGAGAGAGGTCATGCTTCCAATTGTTTGAAAAAAGCCCTTACGGATAATAGATCCACCAACTGACAAAGACTCTAAGTTCTTGAGATTAAGCTGATCTGTAAAAATAAATAAGAAAGACAAAATCAATCAAGATGCTTAACGAAATTAATGAAAGAAATTAAGGAAACTAGGCAAACTACTCACCTTTAAGATGAATCCTTCCTTTGAATTTACTGTTGTCAAGAATTAAAGTTTTCAAAGATGGAAGACCACCAAGATGTGAAAAAATGCTGTAGTTTTATGTGTTATAGCCTAAATCGAGAATCTCCAAACTTGTCAATCTTGATAGTTTTTCAATACCTGCAAAATAACAGTCTCACATACATATATAATCACATTTTCTAAAACAATTAAGGTTGACATGAGTGACACTTTACCTTTGCCTGAGAAAACGTTTCCTTTCAAATTTAGAGATTAGAGAGACGAAAATCCCCCTAAAGACCATAAAATACTTTCGTTCAATTCATTGCTACTCAAGTCAAGGGACTCTAGATAGCTCAGTTGCCCTCGGAAACCTGCAAAACAAAACTAATTAAAATCTTCTCATCGAAAAATAATGCACTATAATAGCATGGCAGTCATCAACAAAGGGCTAAAACTTTTCAATAAAAGCAGGAATAAAATATTCCAGTGGTTAATCAATTTGTCTCTGAAGGTTAACGAAAAAGATCAATTCATTCAAAATTTCAAGGACCTTTGTCCTCAAAGAAACCAACAATACGATTGCTGCTTAAGTCAAGACTCTTCAATTCTTCAAAAGGAAGAAATAAGGAGAAGTTGAGATGCAGAACGTGGCTAAAACAATGATTAATAGAGAGTCTGATGATTCGGCCTGTCCTGGTGTCACACTCGACACCACTCCATTGACAACAATCTGAACTATCATTTCCTCTCCAACTTTCCAACAAGAAATCATCGTCGAATAAAGGTTTGAGATGCAAAAGACCGAGTTTCTCCTGCTCCCAACAGCCATGACACAACCACCCTTTTAGTGAAACCAGAGTTATTAGCACTAGCCATAGAAAATTTGATCCCATTTTAAAGTCCTTAGCCAACCAATAAAGAACAAGCCCTAATTGAAGCATAAAAGAGGAGCTGTAGTATGGTGACCGTATTTAATGAATTGGGTGGAACCAACCACCCGTACACCTTTTTCTTTGACTCATTAAATGAGTTCATCACGCAATTTTACATGATTTCAACCAAGGCAATTCCTAGCCTACAACTGGTTAGGTCGGTGAAGAGATTTTGAGATTTTACCACATGGCAAATCCATGCGTTCACAAGGGGCTGGAACATTTTGTCAACACTTCCATATATTGATTAAACAAAATTCAATTGAACCTATAAATATAAAAAATGATGTAATTGAAAGGAAAAAAAACCACCAAATATCAAATTGAATAATTTTTCTGGCTTGTAATAAGGATGGCAGTATCAAACCTATGTGAGTCACAGCTTTTACCGCTTCAATTTCTCCATCTCCAACGAACATATTCATCCTCTAGAACTTGAGCTCCTTAGTGAACTTTGGGCTCTCCAACTGTGGTAAACCTCCCCAAACATCAAAATCGCCTTTGATAATTCCCACACTTTGAAGAGAGCTTTGAATTGAGCGCCACTGGCTGTGGCCGGTGCTTCTGGACGGCATTCCCATGCCAAAGCAGAGTTGATGAGGGGAAACTAAAGAAATTCACCAAACTTTTTAAGCAAAATCTTATGTTAAGCCCTTGAACTTACTCCAAATTCTTGGTGAAGCCCTTAGACTTTTATTAATGCAAATACACCCCTAAACTTGTTAGTTTGAGCAATTTAACCATTTTCCTTATGGGAGACTTAATGTTTATTTATGCCTTATTTGTGTGCACAAAGTCAATATCCATCACTTAGGCAATAAGATATTAATACTTTATTCATATAAGCGATACACAAATAAATGTTAACTTTGTTGAAAAATAAAAAAGTTAAATTACTAATTCGTAAAATGTAAGAATTTATTTGTTTTAATAAAAGTTTAGAGACTTAATCAAAAATTTAGGGGTTTAATCAAGAATTTTGGATAAATTTGAGGGTTTAATGTAAGGTTTAACCAACTTTTTGACTAAAGGAGGAAGGAGTAAATATGTAAATAAGACACTAACTTTATCATTTTTTTTATTTAAAGATGATTAATCATTACCATTTGCCACAAAATGAGAAAGGTTAAAGGAAAATACCATCTAGATTAATTTAACGGTTCATGTCACACTTGACAGAGGGATAAAAAATATGTAATTTTCAAAGTTAAGGGACAAAAGGAAGTACAAAAAAATGAAGGGACAAAATTGATTCAAAATGAAATGCTTTGGGCCAAATTTGGAATTTAACCTTATAGAAGAAGCGAAGAAAAGAGAAAGCTACCAATGGCTACCCCCTCTACTTTTCGACCTTATTGAAATGACTCCTTTACTTTTTCTTGTAATTTATCAACCCTCAAATTTTTATGTTAAACTAAATCAACCATCTTACAAATTAATTGAATTAAATCACTCAAAATTTAACTAATGATGTAAGCA